TGAGTCGAAATTTTAAATGGCCTATAACCCTGTGGATGAAGTTAAAACAGATTATAAGTCAATTTTTGGGTAAACTTTGTATCAGAGACCCATGACTTTGCTGGGAGACACTGAGCAAAGTTTTCTAATGTGTAATTCATTTGATGGTAGACCTCACCCAGGTTTCAATTTTGATCTGAAGTAAGATCACAGAAGTAGGAGAGAGTTCCACAAGTTCTGGTAAATTCTTCAAATGTAAAGTTCTTCTGGGAAGGAAGTGCAGTATTTTATGTCTGGATTTGACGAGCAAAGGCAGGATAAAGCCCACACTTTATCTACATAAACCTTTCCTAAACTCTAAAGATTATTTTGGTGATCTGTTCCCTTCTGCATAACACAGATCCACAGCATGTGAGAACCGGATACCAGAGATGCCCTATTTTACAGACACGAACAGACACAGAGAAGTGAAGTGTCTTGCCTAAGTTCAGGACCCGTTAGCCACGGAGAGTCAGGAAAACTCATTAGGTCAAAAAGAATTTTTTTCCAATGTAAGTCATCACTTTTTTCTTTTTAAAGACCCTGTTACCCCAATTATTTTTTCATTTAGTTCTCTGCCGGGAGTTCAAATCGCGAAACCTCTGCTCTTGCCAAATGTTCTCCCCACGCATCTAACTCTCCCCAAAGGTCATATTGAAAGTAGATTCTGAGGTTCGTTCCCAAGATCACCAGAAAACACAGATGACTTCTTGGGAGTGTTAGTCACAGCCCAGAATTCAAGAGTCCCAGTCCGGTAGTGTTATCTACCTTGTGGCCCCTCACGCGGCTTGTCAAAACCTATGGGGGGAAAAGCCACAATAAACCTACTAACTCTAAAATAAAAACTCCAGCAGCGATACATGCGATACTCCCTCTTTACAGCTCTCCGCATAAGGGACGGTGGAGGGAAACGCGGACGATAGCAACTGAAGGGAAGTGTTAACTGGAAACTGCTAGCTGCTTACTAACGCGTTTGAAAGCCGGCTGGAAGCCGGAAAGGCCGGAAGAAGCGCTCAGGTGCTAGAGGGCCACTTCCGAGCGGCGGGGGGAAAGACTGGCCCGAGTGGGCCAGCGGTGCGCACGCGCAGCCCCGGCCTTTGTACTCGGGCCGCGGCTTGAGGGGCGGCGCTCCGCCCCGGCCTTACCTGCCCGCGTTCTCCGCTTCCATTCCCCGCTGCCGCTCTTGCTGGCGGCTGCTCCTGGCGGGCAAGCGAGCTACTGGTCCCCGTAAGAGCGCGGCGTACCGATGGCTGTACGACGATAACCAGAGGCTGGACACGATTGCCGGCAGAACTCGGACAGCGGCAGGCGCTCAAGCTCCTCCCCCGAGCTTCTAGTCACCGCCCCCTCCACCTCCGAGCTCCTACCCCCCCCCACCTTCGCGCGGCGCTTCCGTCCACTCGAAGCCAAATCCTACAGCCCGTGGTCGTCACGTGACACAGACAGCCCAATCATGTTCGCTTCCCTCTCTTTGGTTCTCCTGCTCGCCGCTTGGCCTTTCGGGAAGGGTGGAGGACAAAAAGGGTGGGGTGAGGGGGCGCTCTGCTAACGTAAGCTTTTGTCCGCCGGGACTCTTCGGTGGTGGGAGGATCGGGAGGTGAGAGGGAGATACATTTTGGGGTGCTGTGTGGGTGGGACGGTTATGCATATCAGCCTTATCCAGACCAGTCCACGTTAGTTTTTTCTCGATGAAAAAGTATTTTGCGTTAATTATCAGGTATCGATTATCAAAAGTGATTTTGGGCGAATAAGAGACGTCGCAGTCAGAAAACTGGGGAGTTGAGGTCACGGTGCCTTCTTGGGCCTCAGTGTCCTCCTCTGTAAAATGAGGGTGACTGTAAAACTGCTTTGTAAAATGTAAAGCGTTACATGAACCACTGTCTGCTCTAATTTGTGCATGTAAAAATAATAATTTTTCAGGTGTATGATAGATGCCATTTAAGCACCACGGCTCCCTTATTATCTTACAGACTAGCCGCTCTGTTTTATGTCTCAGTGGCTCTTAGAGCTAGTTTTTGTTTCATTAGTGTTCAAGTTGTCACTGCTGTTTCACAAGGACTTCATTAGATCACCCTTCTGGAGGGGCGCCTGGGTGGCTCAGTCAGTTAAGTGTCTGCCTGATATTGAGGACATGATCCCAGGGTCCTGGGATGGAGCCCTGGCTCCCCTCCCTGCTCAGAGAGCAGTCCGCTTCTCCCCCTGCTCCCGCCTCTGCTCATGTTCTCTCTCTGTCTCTCAAATAAGTAAGCAAGTAAATAAATAAACTCTTAATGGAGATAGGCTTTTCTGTTTTTCTGTTTTGCATGATGAAAAACATGGATGCTGTATTAATTTTTCCCAGTTAGGCTGCAATAACAAATAACAAACAAAATCTTGTTACTGGGGCACTAGGTGCAAGAGCACCTGGCTCCGGGAGTCCCAGAGGGACCAGATTTGGTCACATACCACTGACAAAATCCAAAGGCAGAGAGAGAAATGGTGGTGAAACAATTTATTTCAGCGAAGTCAACACTGGGAAGACAGACTAAGTCCCAACGACCAGATCCAAACTGCTGAAAATACTTCTAGGTTTATATAGGGAGAATGTGGAACAAAGGTCTGTGGGTAGGTGTAGGTGGGCCATAAAGGTCCGGTTGATTGTTGTCCCTAGGTCAGTTATGCTCGGTGTTGCTGGCATCAGGGTAGTCCCTATTGCTTGAGGGGTACTTCCGGTTCCCAACATGGGATGCATTACCTGCTGAGTCTTTAGCTGAGTTAAGAGATAAACTGGAAAGAAAATTTTAGTCATTTAGAAAATACAGACTGTGGTCAGAATGGAGGTAGTTGAAGGGCTCTTTCAATCTCAGTGGTTTAGAGCAACCAAGGTTTATTTCTCACTAATGTAACATGGACTGGGAACGACTTTCGCTCCATGCTTCATGTGTCTTCATTCTGGGATCCAGGAAAGGGCTTCTGTGAGTAAATACAGAATGACTAGTTTGTCTTATATCCATTGCTGAAATGAAACTTCCAATATTTCTCAACTTTTCACAACTTTTATGGATGCTCTGTCCATTAGTAGGTACTGCTCAGAACCTGACTCATGGTGGGTGTTCGGTGAATATTTGTTGAATGAATGAGTGAACACAGCCCATTCTCTCACTCTCTTTCTCTGGTTTTTCTAAACACTGAGGACCATAGTCCAGAAAAGTTTCCTGTAATATTTTATTTATTGATTTGAGAGAGAGAGCATGTGCATGAGTGTGAGGAGGCGGGGGAAGGGCAGAGAGAGAGGGAGAGAGAATCTCAAGCAGACTCTCCTTAGCGTGGAGCCTGATGTGGGGCTGGCAGGCAGGGCCAGTTTCATGGGGGCGTGACCTGGTGCACGCCAAAAGTATCCATAAAAGAGGAAATTAAAAATTGGACTTTGTTAAAATTAGAAGGTTCTGCTCTTCAAAAGATTATTAAAAATTAAAGACAAGGTATACACTGGGAGAAAATATTTGCAGATCATAATCTATCTGATAAAAGATCCATAATATATAGATGATTAAAATAATAAAAACCAATAAAAAATGGATGAAAGATTGAACAGATACTTCACCAAAGAAAATATGAGCATATAACAGTATTCTCAACATCATTAGTCATGAGACACCATTACCAACCTACCAGAGTGCCTAATATGAGAAAGACTAACCAGAGTAGGTATTGGAAGAGGATGGAGAGGAACTGGAAGTCTCAAAACTGCTGCTGGGAATTTGAACTGTATACCTACTTTGGGAAATAGCTTGGTAATTTCTTAAATTATACACCTATCTACTACATGCTGCAGCCATTCGACTCCTAGGAAAGTATTCAATAGAAACGGAAGCATATGTTTACAGGCTTGTATGGGAGTCTTTTTGGTACGCTTCACTGTTTTTAACAGCTTCATTCCTATAAGTCCCGAACTGGGAACAACCAAAATGTCCACCAAAGGTGAATGGATACATCAATTGTGTTACAATTATACTCCGCAGTAAAAAGTGAATGACTGATACGTGCAACGATGTGGATGAATCTTAAAATAATTGTGTTGCATGACATAAGCCAGACTAAGATGCTACATAGTGTATGGTATAATTCCATTTACATAACATTCTAGAAGATGCAAATTTATCTATTGTGACAGCAGATCCAGAGGAGACAACGTGGGAGCAATCAGAAAGCGGCATAAAGAAACTTTGGGTATGACAGATATGTTAATTATTTTGCTTGTAGTAAGGGTTACACAGGTGGACACATGTTAAACCTTATCAATTTATATATTTTAAATATGTCGTTAATGTCAACTACACCTCCATAAAAGTGTCTAAAAGGTGAGTGTATCATGATTCATGTTATACATACAACACTAATCCTTCGTAATTTAGTCCTGAGTTAGCTTTTTCTCAACAAAAAAATCCATAGTCACAGCACCATCCATATATGCATAGATTAAACAAGGTCTACTTCCGTTTTCTTTTATTCCAGTAGCAGCAGTAGGAACAGCCGTGTGAGTGTGGCTCTGTTTCCGGGCCCAAAAAACGCGGCGGCACAAGAACGGACAGCGCTCGAACTCCACTCCCGGGAGGGTGGCCTCATCGAAGCACTAGTCTGAGTGCCAATCTCTTCCCGCTCCTAAAAGGTGGCAAACGCCAGCAATTTCCTTGGGCGTGTGAAAGGACGCACGAGGCAAGAATCCTGCCAGCTGCGAGACTCGACATCTGCCAGGGAAGTCCTACAGGGAGAGTAAAGGGCGCACCGAGCGCCTGAGGCTGGGAAACCACTGGGAACTGGGGGAGGTGGGGAGGAGGGGGGGGAGCGGGGACTAGAAGAAAAAAAAAAAAGAAGAGCCGGCCGCACTTCCCATGAAGGCCGGAATCACGTGCCCGAGCGGGCGCCGGCACAGCCCAGGCTTTCCGGCCCGGCGCGGCCCCCAGGCCCTGTACTTTCGGTTCCGCCCGCAGGTTGTCTGTTGCGACCCGGGGCGCACTTCCGCTCGCCCTTTGACCCGCTGCCCTACGCCAGTGCGTTCTGCGGTACGGTGTCTCGGGGCGCACCTGTAGGGCCGGTGGGGAGTGCGGTGTGCATTTCTTCTGCTAGAGTCTGAAAAGGCGCGGGGAAGCCACAGGGTATGCGCCTTCCGCTTGCGGCGCACGAGCTGCCCTTAAGTTGCGCGGGCCCAGCCCCCACACTGAGAGCCTCGTGAAGGCTGAAGGCTGCGCGCGGGCGTGGAAAGGGCGGGTCCTCGGCGCCCTCGCGTCCCAAGTGAGCCCACGGGGCGCGGGGTGGGAGACAACCTGGGGGTCCTGACCCCGTACCGCCCCTGCCGTATGCCCTGTTTCCCGGCACGGTTTCGTCCTGACCTTGGAGCCTTGTAACACTGCCTGCCTTTCCTCCCCGTGCAGCACCCCTTAAGCATGCCCGCGGGAGTGTCCTGGGCCACCTACCTGAAAATGTTCGCGGCCAGCCTCCTGACCATGTGCGCCGGGGCCGAAGTGGTGCACAGGTATTACCGGCCGGACCTGGTGAGTGCCGGAGGGTCCCGGTTCCTGGCCCCTGGACCGCTCCGTTCTCCTCCCAGCGGCGGAAACGATCTTAAAACGGAATTAGAAGGACCATCTGCCCTGAGCGTAGAGCCTGATGGTGGCATTGCATTGCCTTTAGAGCAGCGCCCGGCCTGTTCTTTCACGGGTCCTACACAGCCAGTCACTTGGCTGCCACTGGCCTTGATCTACCATTTACCCCTTGTTCCCACTGTTGCAGCCACCCGGTTTCCTTGCTGTTTCCCACACTCTTCAGGCCTGTCCCCATCTCATTGCCATAACTTTTCTCATCTTGGAATGTTTTTCTCCCAGATCTTGGGTTGGGTTCCTACTTTAAAACGTCAGTCTGCTCAAATACCTCCTCTGGCTGTGAGAGTGCTTTGGGCAGCTCCTAAAGGATTCCTCCTCGTTTTATTCTGTCTCAGCCTTTGTTTGCCTAGAGGACTTGTCACAGTTTGCAAGTATTTTATTCCTTTTGTCTGTTTACACGTTCTTTGTTTCCTCCACCAGAATGTAATCTCCGTGAAGGGACTGGGCCTTCCTGGTTCACCCTTGATCTCAGTAGCCTAGAAAAGAGCTTAGAATATAGTAAATGCTTGATAAATATTTGATGAATGAAGAACGAGGAAATATAGGCAGTCCAAGGAGGGAGAAATTTAAATAAACTTTTAGCATTTTAAGCATTCATTGAATTAGAACTGGGAATTAGAGGTGCTTTTAAGGAGTTACGGTCTTGCGGAGATGAAGGTAAAGAAGTGCAGTGGAAATCGTTACTCCGCACGTTGCTAGGTGCTCTGCTACAGGCGTGAGTAGAGTGGTTGGAGCACCGTGTGGGAACAGTCATCTCTGCCTGGACTCTAGAGGGGTGACACGGAGAACCATCCATTTGTCTTTCTAATTTTAGCTAACTGTCAGCTACAGTTTTGGGGGTGTTTATTCTTGTTTTCAGACAGGGAAACTGAGATTCAGAAGACGGGGTGATTTCCCAGGGTCACATAGCTTCCTGGGGATTTGAAGCCCAAGCTTTCTGTTCAGTGTTTCTTTTTTTATTATTATTATTATTATTTTGATCCTGTTAATGAGGTGGTACCGCACCTTTGTAAAACATTCAGATTGAATTCAGGCATGTAGAGTGGAATGTGAAAATCTAGGGCTTCCCCCACCCAACTTTCTCTAGTCTGCTACCCTCAAGTAGCCACCATTTTTTGGTTGGTGTATACTTGCAGGCTTTAACTATTGTTGAGATACACATGCGCGTGCGTGCACACAAACACACACACGCACAGTGGACAGGGCGTTCTCCCCCATGGAAATAGGAATTCACACATTTCTCTGTCACCTGTTTCTTTTGGTTAATATCTATATGAAGAGACACATGTTTATATCAACAGCCTTTTTTCTTTCTGATCATTGAATAGCATTTTATAATATGGATGCTCCATATATTATTTAATTTCCTATGGACATTTTGGTGGTATCTAATTTTTGTACAAACAATGCTGAAGTAGCTCTTACCAGCAGGGACTGCTTCTCTTGAGTTAAAGGGATGTGTCAGGGTTACTTAGTGGAGACAAAAATGCGTAAGAACCTTCCACAGAGATGCAGTGGAGTCACTAGCTCCTGAGGAATAGACATCAAGCGGGCATTACAAAGGAAGGAATACCTGTGATTTGCCCCTAGGAAATTGACCTTTGATTCACCCATCTCATTATAAGTAGGAACATGCAAGGTTGTTACCAGCAGCTTCTTTGACCTTGGGAAGAGGCTTGGTCTTGATTGGGCACAGATATCAGCAGTGGGGTACCTCTATAGGGCCCTGAAGGCCAGGGCTGGTTGGCTACATGTAGGATGCTGGATGCTTTACTAATATTTAAGGAATTTATGTTCTTTTGCTGTGTCTGTTGGTCTTGTTCTAGCAATGACTGTCACTATTGTAACAACTGCTGGCCTTTGTTGGCGTCCTTCAGTCTTTACAGCTAGAAGGTCTGGGTGGAGTCCAGACGCGACCATGATAGCTGCCTAGAGTGCATGCTCAGTGCTGTCTTAAGGGAGCAGCGTTAAGGATGCCTTTTCTAGTTGACCAGCTAAGCTGCTCAGGATTAGAATGGAGGCAAGGACTCAAGGCAGATGTTCTGTCCTGGAATACAAAGTGTGCTTTTGCTTGCGCTTCCGTTTGCATCTCCATTTACTTTTTTCCCTTTTTTAAAATACTTTATTTATTTATTTAACACAGAGAGAGATCACAAGTAGGCAGAGAGGCAGGCAAAGAGAGAGGGGGAAGCAGGCTTCTCCCTGAGCAGAAAGCCCGATGCGGTGCTCCATCCCAGGACCCTGAGATCATGACCTGAGCCAAAGGCAGAGGCTTAACCCACAGGCACCCCACATCTCCATTTACTTTTGCATTACTTTTACTGGTCCTCTTTTCCTTAATTTATAATCTACTTAATATTGAAGGCATACTCAAAAAATGCAGTCTCAGTGATGTAGGAAAGACGATAGGGTTTGAAGCCGATGGCCAAGAAAGAATTCTTGAGATGTCTTTGGTGCAAAAAGGTGGTTTTATTAAAGCACGAAGACAGGATCCATGGGCAGGAAGAGCTGCACTGGGTCATGAAGAGTGTTCTGTTTTGTACTTTCAAGTTGGGAGGCAGTTAGGGATACCGTAAGCCTCCCAGGTATTTTGGAAACCAAGTTTCCAGGATCCTGAGGGGGCTAGGTATTGTCAGGGAAAGGTCATTTATTACTTAGTAAAAACTCAGTCACGAGACTCCTTATTTATATATCAGTGGGTTATATGCTTGGGGGATGATTGCTAACATGTATCTTGGATAAAGGAAGTTTGAATTTTTATATGTTAAAGTAGACTGACAGGATCTTGGGGGTTGGGCTAAGGTTGCCTTTTGCCCTTAGCAAAGTAGTAACATCAAGGCAGATGAATCTCTAGAGGAATGTCACACTGCCTGTTTCAAGGACTTGTCAGTGGGCCATAGGTAATAAGAAAATTTAATTTTTCTTTGGCCTTTGTTTACCACATCCTTAGGATTCATTTTATTTTATTTTATTTTTAAGATTTTATTTATTTATTTGTTAGAGAGAGAGAGAGCACAAGCAGGGGGAATGGCAGGCAGATGGAGAAGCAGGCTCCCTGCTGAGCAGGGAGCCCGACACAGCACTCAGGACTCCATCCCAGGACCCTGGGATCATGACCTGAGCTGAAAGCAGACACTTATTGAGCCACCCAGGTGTCCCAGGACTCATTTTAAAGTGTTCATTTTTGGTTGTCTCCAGACATACCCACATACACACAAATTGCTATTTAGAACCTCTGCTGATATTGTTAACCTTTGAGTTAGTAAACTTATTAGTCTTTTAAAAATTGATTATATATTTAATGTATTTAGTAAATAATAGTGCTGTTTTTCTGAAGCAGGAGAGCTAGGTTCTTGTCTCATGGAGTCGAAGAATGAATCTCACGGACAAAGAATGAGTAAAGTGATAGAGTTTTTATTAAGCAAGAGTACCGAAAAAACTCTCAGGAGTGAGAGAGGGGTCCCGATAAGGTTGGCACTGAGGGCTTTTAGGGTTGCTTTTTTTCTTGAAGGCTAAGCAGGGAGCTTAAATCTTTTTGCCTTCTCTACAGGCAGCACTACTGATGAAGGACTAGTGATAGCATCTTTAATGGCTTACCTAAGGGTCTGGTTATTTTCTGTTGACCACAGGAGACTGTCATAACACGACTCGCCACCTCGGGTGGTCTGGAGTGCCTTATCTCTGGTTTCCTTACATCTCCACATTTTGGGGATTTTTGTGAGCCCGATCACATAGCCCCCTATCGATCTCTCCCTGTCTAGCCCTGCCTGTCCCTTACTCATTTCTTTTAATAAAAGTTGACTTGTCGGGGTACCTGTGTGGCTCAGTTGGTTGAACTGCTTTCTTTGGCTCAGGTCACGATCCTGGGATCAAGCCCTGAATTGGGCTCACTGCTCACTGGGGAGTCTGAGTCTCCCTTTCTCTTCCTCTGTGTGCTCGTGCTCTCTCTCTCTCTCACTCACTCTTCTCTCTCTATATCTATATCTATATCTATAGATAAATAAATCTTAAAAAAAAAATTGAATTGTCATTTTAGCTTTGTACTGTATTGGCAATTCGGATTACTCCAAGTATGTGCCTCTCTGTGTGTAAATGGGCGGTTGTATATACTTTATAGAAATTTGAAACACGCTGTTGTATTTTATGTTTTTATTATTTTTTAAAGTTTTTATTTTAATTCCAGTTAGTAAACATACAGGGTTATATTAGTTTCAGGTGTATACTGTATTTTATAGGGCTTTGTGATTTCATATAATTTCCTTTTGTGACCCTGGGGAGAAAAGCATCCCTTCTACATTAATTAGTTTACACAGTTTAATGAAGGTGAAGCAAGCTACATTTGTTCTTATACTAAAGGGATGGGAATGTCAAAATCCTAGGACTAGTTTTAAGATAGGAAATTGTCAGACAGGGTACTCTGGCTTTTGCTCTAGTTCCCATTACCGTTTTTTTGTTTTTTTGTTTTTTAAAGATTTTGTTTGTCAGAGAGAGAGAGAGACAGACAGGGAGAAACAGGCTCCCTGCTGAGCAAGGAGCGCGATAGGGTACTTGATCCCAGGACCCTGGGATCATGACCTGAGCTGAAGGCAGCCACTTAACCAACTGGGCCCCCAGGTGTCCCCCCATCACTGATTTTTTAGAAAGTCATTTCCACTTCGAAATGAGAATTATGCTGTGAAGCACATCCCTTAGCTCCCTACCTCTCCTGTGACCCCGACCTCAAATCCCACTTTCTTTCCTGTTTTATTTCTTTAGGATTAATTAGTTGTTAGATAAAAGAGTAAAATGAACCAGATCAAGGTGTTTGAACTTCAGGGATTGAAGGGCTATAGAAGCTTTCTTTTTTTCTTTTTTTTAAAGATTTTATTTATTAATTTGACAGACAGAGATCACAAGTAGGCAGAGAGGCAGGCAGAGAGAGAGGAGGAAGCAGGCTTCCCACTGAGCAGGGAGCCGGATGCAGGACTCAAGCCCAGGATCCCGGGATCATGACCTGAGCAAAGGCAGATGCTTAACTAGCTGAGCCACCCAGGCGCCCCTAATCTTGCAGTTTTATGTAAAATAATCTGAGCAAAGATTTTATTTCTCCAATTTTATGAGCTTATAAGGGTCCTGAGCACAGTCTGTTGACTTATCCATTCAGCACAGTCTTTTTGCCTTTTATAATGAGGGGCATCCTATAGGGTTGTAAGAAATAAGGAGGAAATTACGATGCGGTCCCTTTCCTCAGGACCTCACCGTGTAAGCTGATAGCTGGTAGAAATAGATATGCCTCTAGGGGTGCCTGGGTGGCTCAGTCATTAAGCATCTGCCTTTGGCTCAGATCAGGATCCCAGGATTCTGGGATCGAGCCCCATCGGGCTCCCTGCTCAGTGGGGAATCTGCTTCTTCCCTGCCTGCCACTCCTCTTGTTTGTGCTCTCTCTCTGACAAATAAATAAATAAAATCTTTTAAAAAAAAAGTAGATATATCTCTGAATCATGACAAACAGTTCCACTTGGATGTGCAGTGAGCATGTTGAAAACTGAGCTGCTGGTCTTTTCTCCAACAGACCTGCTCATCTTGAAGCCTTGCCTGTCCCTGTGGATGGTGACTCCATCATTCTTGTTGTTCAGGCCAAAGCCCAGGAGTCCTCTTTAATGCCTCTCTCCTACTACACATAATAGCAAATCCCACTGGCTTGATCTGAAAACTACATCTGGAATCTCACTGCTTTTCACCACGTTCGCTGCTACTACCCAGTTCAAGCCACGGTCAGCCACCTCTCACCTCAGTTTCTGTGATGGCTCCCTGATCTGTTTCTACCTTCCTGCCTTGCTCCCCTGCAGTCTTGTCTCGACAAAGCCACTGTCTTCTTTTTATGCTTGAGTCAGATCACGTCATTCTGCTCATAACTCTCCAGGGACTGTGCATCTCTGCACCCGTTTTTCCTCTGTCGTCATCCCTTCCTGACCTCTCCTTGAATACTTTATACCAGCACTGCTGACCACCTTTTCCGTGCACATAAGGGCACATTTCTGCCTGAAATCCTTTGCATTTGTGGTTCCTTCTGCCCGAAACACTCCTAGATAGCCGCATGGCTGGTTTTCTCATCCTCCTTGATGTAGATCTTTGTTAGAAGTCACCTTTTCAGACAATACGCACATGAGAAAATGCTCAGCATCATTACCCATCAGAGATATGCAAATCAAAACCACAATAAGATACCATTTCATCACCACTGCAATGGCTATAATTAAAAAAAACCCAAACAGCTCATGACAGGTGTCAGTGAGGATGCAGAGAAATTGGAACCATCATACAGTGCTGCGAGGAATGGAAAATGGTACAGCTGCTTTGGGAAACAGTCTGGCCGTTCCTCAAACGGTTCAACATAGAGTCATAGGACTTAGTGATTCCACATCTTGGTTTATACCCAAAAGAAATGGAAACATAGGTCCACACCTTCTTGTACACAGGTTCATTTAAATGGAATCATATAACATGTGGTCTTTTGTGACTCGGTTTCTTTCACTTTGTATGCTTTCAAGATTTGCCCCGTATTGTCAAATATATCTGTACTTCATTTCCTTTTAGGACAGAATAATCTCCCATCGTAAGAATAATAGCAGGGCTCTATCCCAGGTCCTCAGGATCATGACCTGAGCCGAAGGCAGATGTTTAACCCACAAAGCCACCCAGGCGCCCTAGACTCTTACTGTTTTTGAACAGTAACAAATTGATTTGAAATCGGTTCAAAATGAATTGATTCCTAATACTTGTTTTCTGTGCCGGGCACATGGTAGAGACTCAGTAAACAGTGCAAGAATGAATTTTAGATTGTGGAAAGCTTTATTAAGATTTGTGATCTGGGCGCCGGGATGGCTCAGTGGGTTAAAGCCTCTGCCTTCAGCTCAGGTCATGATCTCAGGGTCCTGGGATCGAGCCTCACATCGGGCTCTCTGCCCAGCAGGGAGCCTGCTTCTTCTCTCTCTGCCTGCCTCTCTGCCTACTTGTGATCTCTGTCTGTCAAATAAATAAAAAAAAACTTTAGAAAAAAAAAAAGATTTGTGATCTGTCAGTTACTATTGATCTAAACACTCCCTTTGTGAGTCCCGCAATACTGGAGAAACAGCCTGGACAGTAGAGTCCTGTAAGTATCGGGTTAGAAACGGACTGACATGGGCCACAGGCTCTCCTAATAAGGATTCATCATTGAGTGCACAGGGACTTTTGTGCCCTTTTTTTTTCCTTTCTATTTTCTTTCAGGTCACACTGAATTACAGTCTAAGGCAGCACTGGCATCTATCCTTTTTGTTTTGTTTTTTTTTTTGATAGACAATACCTGAAATTCCACCAAAGCCTGGAGAACTCAAAACGGAGCTTTTGGGACTGAAAAAGAGACAACATGAACCTCAAATTTCTCAGCAATAGAAACCTCAAAAAACTTAACTCTGCCAAGAACTCCATGAATAATATTATAAGTATTAAATATGTATTTTTAAAGTTTATTGAGTTAGCCGGGTTGTCTTTCGGCACCTAAAGCAATCTTCACAGCACGAGGAGGTGCCCAGGTGTTAACTGATGCACTGAGATTTAATTATGGGTTGACCAGTGTTTCTTGGAAACTGCCAAAGTGTGTATCATCAGCTTTTTGAATGTGGTTGAATAGATACTTAGTCTTGAATATCACGTGAGAAAGAATATTTACAGTGTTTCCTGCTCTTATAATTCTGGTTTATTTCTCTGAGGAAGCTTGACTGTCATGAAAAATGGGAATTATAAATTAACTATAATAAAAGTGTCATTGACAATTAAAGCTTATGGTGTGAAGTTAATATTTCTCTAAAATTGGACACTATTTGTATCAAACTGAATTAAGTTGAAATATTTAAAGTTTGAAGTTCTTTTGGAATTCTGTACTTAACAAAATTATAGCAGATGTCACTTGGACTGTCATAAGTACTTTATCCCCAAATTTGAGAAACCATGTTACCATGTAGTTATTCTTATAAAATATATTTTAAAATAGGTGAAAAGCTTAAATGAGCTTTGCTATGGGATGAATTGTGTCCTCTCCTCAAAGATGTTGACGTCCTAACCGCCCCCCCAGTACCTGTTAATGTGACCTTATTTGGAAATAGAGTCCTGCACGTAAAATGAAGTTAAGATGGGGTCATTGGGCTGGGTCCCCAATCTAATCTAATGTCTTTATAAGAGGAAAATGCCATGTACAGACAGACACAGAGGGAGAGCACTGTATGACAACAGATCAAAGATTGGAGTCCTGGAAGCCAGGAATGCCAGGGATGGAGAGCCATCACCAGAAGCCAGAAAGGGGCAAGGAGGGGGTTCTAGCCAGAGTCTCAGAGGATGGTCCTGCTGACACCAGGATTTTAGATTTCTGCCCTCCAGAACTCTTGAGAGAATACATTTCTGTTGTTTGAAGCCATCTAGTTTCCGAGGGCTGTTATGGCAGCCCTTGGAAACTAAAACAAATATTTCAAGTCTTTCTCTGAGTCTATAAATAAAGGACAAAAGTAATTTATAGAGCAATTGGCTTTCCATTTAGGGCTATTTTTCCAAAAGAAGTTTTTCAGAATTCTGTGTTCTTAAAGGTAAGATCTAGCCTTGCTTCTTAGCCAGTTAGCCAATTGCTACATCACATAAATCTTTGGGGTCATTGTTGAAATCTTAAAACCGGAAATGCAGCAAAATGTTTGTGTTTTATTTGCTGTAGTAAATACCCTTTTTGGTTTAATAGTGTAAAGCAACTAAATGAAATGGTTTATTTCTAGTCTATATACAAGCTCTTTCTTTTCTGCAGCTGTGTTATTTGGTACCTTACCAAATTCTTCAACACATGAGGAGGATCTGTCTTTCTGTTGATGATGGATGAGCAGTGGCTCACTCCAGGGAGAGGGCTGGAGAACAAAGTTTTGAGTTGAGACTGGTTGTTTGCTGATATTTACTATGACCTTGTGATGAGACTTTTTCTGGAGCAAATTTCATAGCTGCGATTAATTGAATACTTTTTTTCTATTTTTTTTTTAATTTAAAGATTTGTTTATTTTAGGGAGAGAGAGAGTGTGTGCAAGCGCAGGGTGGAGGGGCAGAGGGAGAGGGAGAGAGAGTGTTCCAAGAAGACTCCGTGTAAGGCACGTAGCCTGACACAGGGCTTGATCCCTGGAGATCATAAGCTGAGTTGAAACCAAGAGTCAGTCACTTGACTGACTAAGCCACTCAGGCACCCCTGAATACTTATTTTCTTAGAATTTTATACTTTACCTCTGAAACAAATACTACATTATATGTTAATTAAAAAATGAAAATGGATATATTTAAAAAATTCTATACTTTACAAATGGTGAATCTTGCCACAGCCAATTGCAAGAGTTTTATATCAGGCTGGAAAAAGTTTGACTTTGTTTTTTTGGTTGAAAGAATTAAAAAGTGGTTTCCAAAACTCAGTAATTCTAAATTTGGTGCCTAACTCCCTCAAATAATATGAATTCCCAAAGGTTTTAGGAAGGATACCTGATTTTAGTATAAATCAATAATAAAATCATTTTTTAACTCAACTAGTTTCATCAGTTGAATTTACTAGGTGCAGTTTTTTTTTTTTTCTCTGCCAACGAGCATTTTCAAATTCTATTTTTCCATTAATTTTAGTATATGAACATGAAACTGGTGAACTTTGATAACGCATTTTGTAACTATCAGTGGGGAGAGACCCCCTCATCACTTTCCAGAATAAAGAGCTAGGGATGTTGCTCACCCTTTGGAAGAAGAAAGGATCGGCCCCTTGGGGCCAGTTTGTGCACAGTGGAAGGTCCCCACCCGTGCCCTGGGTGGACCATATGGTCCAATGCAGTGAACCATACCTTAAAGTCACTCACTCCCCCTCCCCGTCCATACCTTCTGTTGACAGGTACAGAGTGACTGGTCTGGCTATTGAAAGAAAAAGTCATGATTTGAATCCACTTCTACAAGACAATGGCTTTATGAAGGGAGAAAACTGATTTTCTAGCTACTAAAATAAAAACATACTGAAAGTAGAAGTGCCATCGTTTTCAATACATCCTGATTCTGATGATTCTAAGTGACTTTCACCAAGGTATCCTTTTCTGAAGTTGACCCCTATTGTGAAAAATATGCATTGTGGTGGCCCTGGAAATGCATTAGTAGATTCTCTGAGGAAAGGCACTGGGTGCTTCTCACTGAGCAGCCTTCAGTTGTCTTGGCTTCTGCAGGGACTTTAACAGCTCAAGGGTGGCCTTGCTCAGAGCCACGCCTCCTGCCATTCAGCACAACTCTCAAGGGGCATGTTAGCTCCCTTCCCTCTTAGCTGAGTGGGGCTTTTTGGCCCTGCATTGCTTCTCACCTCCCTCTGCTCCATCCCATTTCCTTTCCTTCCACAGGTGCTGATTTAGGGGCATTCCTTAATAAATAGCCTGTATACTAAACTCCATTTCAGTGCTGCTTGGAGAGCCAAATCTGTGACTTACACAAACCAAAAATTAAATGTAGTACTAGGTTGTTCCTTAATAGAGCTCTGGGAAAAAACCACCCAAGATAGACCAGTTGCAAGGCGTTTGGTCATTAAATTAGGTCAAACAGTGGTTTTGCAAGGTGTATATGACATAGCTGCTTATTTTTACCCAAAACTATGAGAATAGGATGCTTTCCATGCTTCCTGCTGGAAATAGTATACACTCAGAATTTGTAATTGGGAGAATAATGAGGAGCAAGTTCCAGATGCTATTAACTTAATGCAATCCAATGGCTTTTCTATATGTCTTTATTAAAAATTAAAAATTATGGTGACCAAAAAATTGGAAACAAGTATTGTGATTAATGGCTAATATAGTGTTGTATCATGAAAGGAAGCTGTACCTTTACAGCATGTCTCCCTATGACTGAGCTCCTATTTTATTTCTTATAAAGGAAAGAAAACAGATTTTTAAAAATCAAGTAAATTAGCTTTCAAAGTGATTATTGCAAACTAAGCCTAGAAAAATAGCTTGGGTGGGAGGGGAGTAGGACACATAAGACAAATACAAAAAGCCCAGAAAAGGGTCCTAAATTATCAGGAAAATCGAGTCCCTTACGAAACATTATAGTACATAAAGTTGATTTCCATGATCTCTGAGTATACACACATGATCTCTGAATATACAACTCAGGTTTTCTCTCCCTAGCCAGCTAAAAAATAGACTACCATTTCAGATGGCTATCAATTAGTGAAATTAGAGAAAACTATTTCTCTCATAAATACTACATTTCAGAAGGAATTAAATGATTGCTTGATGAGTATCATCACTATCTACAATTTACCTGTTGTAGAATAATGGGTGTTTTGAAAAACACCCTTATTTTGGAATAGCTCTAGATTTACAGGAAAACTGCAAAGATAGTACAGAGCCCCATGTCCCCTTCCTGTTTTCACGAATGCTGGTCCATAGGTCAAAGCCAAAGAACCGTAACTCTAGAATAAATTTTACCAGTTTAATCCAGGCAGAGTGCGCTTAGTTGCCAGGTCTTCAGTCTATTTCTGTCCTTGGTTTTGACCTTGAAACTTTGATAGAATACTGTTCACATACTGTGTGTCTGATGGTAAAGACAGCAGAACCTTTCTTACCACAGCCTGTCAAGGATACACAACATCACTGGGGATATGAAACCTGACCACCAGGTTAAGGTAGTGTCTGCCAGGTTTCTCTGCTACAAAGTTACTATTTTTCCCTTTCCATACTCTAGAGGACAGCCACTAAGCCTAGTTCACTTTCAAAAAGGAAAGGAGAATTAAGCCCCACCTCCTGGAAGGGGGAGTGTATCTGCATATATTATTTGGAATTCTTCTGTAAGGAACACTGTCTTTTCTCTACATAGGTGACTTTAAAAAAATACTGATCTAAAAAAGAATTTTCTGTAATCTATATGCATTATTTTGTAAGGGAGAAAAAACCCCAAAACACAGGATTAAAAAGAAAAAAACAAGAGCTAAGTATGTACAATCATTATGAAGACAAGCAAGACACAGAATATTTGGGATCTTTTTTATTTTTATACACATGACAAGATTTTACACCAAGAATAGTCAGTTAAATAGTACAAATTTACATTCATGAGGAATGTTAAAAAAAATTCAACTAAAAAAACCCACTTCTGTCTGTGACCCACAATCCCAACATTTTACAGTGCAGGGGAGAAGGGGCTGGGGGGAGCATCCAAAACAAGTCTCTCCCAAAAGAAATGACTTAAATTTCACATTCCCTCTCCACACCGGATCCAAATAGAGTATAATTTATAATTCATCTTTTTCAGCTGTAGATTTCTGTGAAAAGAGAAAAATCAGAAGACATGAAAAATGAGCAGAAAAAATGTTAGTTCACAGAAGGTTCATGTGTAGAAAAAAACAACTCTAATGGGCCCTGCATAGTTCCATTATTTCAGAGGTAGGCTAGAACCTCACCTATAAATCTGAAAAATAATTTAGAACTCAACAATAGGATCTATGGCCTCTAGACACAAATAATCAAGAATTTAAAATGGGCCTACTGCTGCGATATAGTAAGGCAGAAGCAGGTGGCAAAGACTATAGAAGCCTTATGGGCTTAAAAAAATCTAACAAGATCTCAAGAATGGACGGCTAAAACAAACAAAAAGGAATGGGACGATGAAAGCATATACTTCATTTAGAGGAAAAAAAAAAAGGACTGGCTCCAGCTTTTGAATTTGTTATTAGATGCCTGTTTTTTTGTTTTTTTTTTTTTTTTTATATTTTATTTATTTATTTATTTGAGAGAGAGAGAAAGA